TTTTTTTTTTTTTTGTTTGTCTCAGTAAATGCCATTTTATATATTAATTTTTATTTTGTTCTCATGAACACTTTACCATTCACCTGTTGAAGAGACCAATAACACACAGTCACAATACTGAATAGATACTTTCAAAAATAAAGTATAATTTTTAAAAAAAAATTTTTTTTAATTTTCAGTATTAAAAAAAATAATGTATTAAAGTTTTTGAATTATGTTGAAGTGTTGCTAGAAGAGTAAACACCGGACTGCACTTTTAGTTTCGCTGTAACTTCTCACATAGTTAACGCTATGAAAAACTATTTCTGGAAAAATCCTGTTCAAATGTTTTGTCTTAGGGCTAAAATGCTACTGGTGCTGTTAAACTTAGTAGTATAAGCAAAATGTACAGAAATATGCAGAGTTTTTGTAGAATTGTTCCGAAAACTATTAACATTATTAATTGATAATAGCGTTTATTGCTTCTTCTTCTTCTTCTTATTCTTGCCTAAATAAAAACAGCAAAAGTTTTGTACTTTTAAGTAAAACTATTCTGTCTGGCTAAAATTGAAGTGCCTGCTTACCAAGCTTTACGGAACATTTTTTGACCAAAATTTCTGCAGTGAAAATTAAGTTCAATGTCGTCAAAAATTTATACTTTTTAGGCTGTCAAACACACTTAGCAAATGTCTTGGAATTTTTTTATCATTGATCTTTCAGTTATTTTGGTAAATATAAACCATTTGAAAAGAAACATTTGCAGAAATTTCATAATGCGGTTTGAGATGAATAGATGAAAATTTGCAGCAGGTGACATCAAAAACCAAAATATCTTGTTGAAACTATGAAGGTTCAACTTTGTGGTATCAAGACGAATGCTTGGAAAACTCATAGGATCACTTGACCAAAACATTATTAAGATTAGGTTAATAGCCAGGAGCGGTTCTTGGTGGTGGACAGTGATCACAAGAACCAGTTGGTCCAGCAGGACCTTCTGGACCGTTGTCGCCATCAATTCCAGGATTGCCGGGTTTGCCATCAACTCCAGGTGGGCCTTGTGGTCCTTGAGCACCGCGTACGCCGTCTTTGCCTGGAAGTCCCGCCACACCCATTGGACCTGGTAAACCATCGGGACCTTGTGGTCCTGGTGGTCCTGGTGGTCCTTGTTGTTCACTGAGTGTTCCAGGG